CAATTTGATTGTATGGCTAATGTTATTTAGTCATTAGCCGGTACTGGTTATATAATGTTAATTTTACAGACTGATGTTTAGATTATTCATTTGAAGCTGTAGCTTAAGTCCGAAATTTTGTCATTAGCTAAAAGCATGATTAAACTTATGATTACCTATCTGATCTTAATATTAGCCGTCTTTCGGACACTATTTATACATACATATATTATGAAATGATAACTTTCCAGGTGACCATTTTTCCTACATTATGTAAAAGCGTTATTTGATGTTTAAGCAAACGAAAATTATCGACATTCAACTGGCATTAGGCAACTGCGTGTTGCCGTTTAAGGCGTGTGTGGGAGGTCGTGTGTACCGAACATGTACGTTAACATATTATATTTGCATGCGCGTGTTCGTGTAATAATATCATTCTTAATCCGTTTGAAAGATAAAGTACAGTATGTTTTTACTACGTCACAACGGTACATGGACGTGACCAGGCGGAAAATAATAAGGTTTTCATAAATAGTGCGTTCGGTTGTAATTTTTATGTTCATTATTCCACTCGATAATCTAACCGCGTTACATTTTCATGTCTACCATGTTCACAAACCAACCACTTTTGCGTCAAGTGGCTCCGCCGTACGAATCTAAGTGATCTTTGACGGAATGGTAAATTCCGTATTAAATGTCGTATAAAATAAAAACAAAAAACCTATCGAGTGGTAAAAACGGGCTACTTAATTCCCGACAGCGGTAAAATTTATCCATGTCCATTGTACGTATTCAATTTGTTATGAAAGCATTTTGATACAGCACACGTTGTTTCGATTTTTTTCTCGACGTTATTATTAATTGAAATTTATTGTAAACGCGTGCGTGCACAATAATCAATCAGAAATGTATAAATTTATAATATCTTAATGCATTTGAATGGGAAATTACAATAGGTTTCTCGTCGCGTAGTCTAAACGAAATCTTCGCGTTACGATCGTAACATTAGCATACGGATGTATAAATTGAAGTATGACAGCCTTGGGTTGAACTGAAACATATTATGTATTTTATCACTGACAGGCCGAGAAAATTTCAATTTTACTCTAAAGTCACTGAATTAGAGTTCACTCCTGTGAATACTATATTGTGTTTTGATCATTTTTAATGTAAATTAAACAATAATATTTTTTTTAAAGCCGATGGAAATATTATATATATTTCATTATAGTGCAAGTATTTTGGTGTACTAAACAAATTTCCGAAATACAAAAATAATTACACTGGTGTTGCGAATGGTCAGTTTAAAACTATTTAAATAAAATACAAATAGTTTGAAACAATCTAGATGAAATTAAGGTATCACACTTAAAAGATCAACTACATTCAATTTTTCAGAAATTTTAACTTTATTAAAATGTATTAAATGTATTTTAAAATTGAATAAATTTTTATGTGTCACAATATTTAATGTTTTATTATTTTTCTAGAGTCTGTGTAGATGACTTTGAACAGAAGAATGGTTCTGATTATCACAATTGTAAGATATTTCTGATAAAAACTTTTGTAAAGATTTTATTTTAAAGAAAGTAATTTTACGAATTTTTTGACAGTTTTCTTAATAATTCCGAAAAACTGACGAAAAAATTATAAAAATATGGCCAAATGTATAGCATATCGGTTTTTGACAAATCGAATTATTGTTTTCATTGTAATTAATAAAATATAACTGTAGAGATATGAACATTTTACTGTATTTTTGAACTATTGATTGCTATTGATTAATTGATTTCATAAGATTGGAATTCTCATGGTTTTTTTTTTCTTTAGCTTTTTTGCAAAGATATCAATAGATGAATGGTATCACAAATTAATTATGGTATCACAAAACTTCTTGATAATAGTTGTTGAGCTTAATTGTTTAAAATAAAAATCCTAAATGAAAAATAAAAAAGAAAAGAAAGTGTTACTATATAAATTGTTGACGAAATCGAATACTTCAATTAATTTTCATTAAATTAGGTATTAAGTTAAAATACAATAATAACAAATATAAATAAAAACGAATTATTTTAATAAAGTTTGAGCTGTTTTAATACTTTTAATTATTTGAAATTTTCGATTTCCTCAAATGTTAAACGCTCTTTAATTTTTGTGGAAGTAAGAACATTTAAATGTTTTAAAAGTATATATATAATAATACAGGGATGAGTAAATATATTAATATTTACTCATCCCTGTATCATCCAACCTAGGAATCTGGCCTCTTTTTTTTCTTATTTTTATTAATACGTTTTTCAGATTTAGATCAATTTTAAACTTAGACCTACAAATTTACAATATTTTTTACGTTGTTTTATGAGATATAAAATTCTTGTGCAGTTGAATTTATTTTAATTAACTGGATTTAATTATTTCAACAGTTTACAATAAATAAATTATGAAAAAATGTAAAAATGAACTGATATAATACATCCACGTTGAAGTCAATGACTATTAGGATGGTTATTTAGCTTATAGTTGGGGACATCTTGCATTGTACACAAAACCAAAGAAACTTTTGCCGGTACGTCTCTTGTACAGTTTTTGATTACCACCGGTGTTTTAAAATGTTTCGTAATAATCAGAAAGCATTTGAAATCACACGGAAGTACGCGAGATCGTTGGATTAGAATATTGTTTAAGCACGATACATATTTTGCTCCATTCCGTATTGCACTAGGGCAGGGATGGCAAACCTTTTGAACACTGCGTGCCCAAAATTTTTTTATAAAGTGTGCATGAAAAATATTAAAAATATTATATTTTGTTATATTATAATTTGATTGTATAATTAATGTATAAGTATAAAAAGGTTAGTTTAGGTACATAATAATTATAATATATAATAAATAATAATATTGCTTTATTAATTATTTATATTATATTATATTATAGGTCCTATAATATATAATAGTAAAAATTTTCGCGTGCCATAGATTTGCCATCCCTGCACTAGGGTATTTATTACGTAAAAGAAATATTTGTTTGAAATCATTAACTATAGAAAAATACCTTCAAAGATGTCCTTTTATTTTTATCATATATGAAAAAAAAAACCACACTATGCACGTCTACTTCTGCGAGTCAAACGGGTGCATACACGAGCATATGATAGTATCACTCACTTGTGCGCGAATGCATGCATAAATATAGTACTAAAAGCGTTGCGAATCTTATTCGGTGATTTACGTACAGATTCGGACGAGCTAGCATTTCGAGTAGTGTCTACCCGTGCGGTGTTTCTCGGCTACGATAGCAGACGCGTTGCGAGGGTAAACGTTCAAACGGTGTTGTATTCGCAAACTCCCTATCCGTTAGGCGTCCGTTCAAATCATGTTTCACTTTTGGCGAGTGCACATTTCGTTGAACCATCCGACCGTGCGCGTGTCGCCAGCAATCTTGGGACCCGGAGTCAATTACGCAGTTGTCACAGAACGGTGCCTTTTAAATTGTTTTCGAATAACAACGAGGTATGGGATATACGCGCGCATCGTGTCGTATTCGATGAAAAAGACAAAAATAAAAAAAATCAGATCCTCGCACCAGGCCCGGAACACGGATGGAAACACTCGTTTGAATAAACATCACGGCCGATCGGTTTTCGAACACTCGGTCATCCCCCCCCCCCTCACCAGTCGTAACGCGCACGCCAACCCCCGGACGGGCCAGTGCATCGGGCAAAACGTATGTGCCGTACACGCGTTTAACAGCCGTAAAAATAAACGTTCCGTTCCTTTTTCCTATCCTCGCCTTTTTGCTCTGCATCAGCTAACGATTGCCTTGACGTACCTGCGTGTACACACACGCAAACCTTTTTCGGTTTTTTTTTCTTTTTTCTATCAATTCCGTTTCAGCTGCATCGTCGTCGTCTTGACCGGCTGTAAAATTATTGCTGCACTGCTAAAATATTACACACACCACTCACGATTATCGGTCTTGTGATTCTAAAATCTGTACTGGAATATTTCGAACGAACGCGTGTAATCCCTTGTGACTCTTCGTTGCACTTGTGGCTGTCGGCAAATGTATCGTTTATATTAAATATAGTTATTTGTGTACTAAAATTATACCTGTGGTATAACTTCAAAATGTGTTTGTCGTTTTAATTGAAACCAGTGGCTCTGCATTTCTGTAACATTCAGTAAAATATCACCTCTGGCCGTTATAAAACGTTCTAATGAACATCAATGGAAACAATATTGTAAGTTTTCGGTTCACCTTAAAAAAAAAAATAATAATAATAATTATGCCACGATCTGGACTTATGGTGATTATAAATTGTTAATACTTAATCATGGCGTAGGATTGATTTAATAAAAGAGGAGTTACCGCGAATGGAAGATAAATGTAATTATTTTAAAAACGATTTTATGTGCTTAGGAGACATTAAGGTTTATTATTTAAAATGTATTAATAACTTGCTCATAGTTACTTATACTTTTGATGATGATTATTCTCTTTGAAATACATATTTAGAAAAAATCTCAACGGCTTATTGAAAATAGGTTGAACAGGTAAAAGAAAATTATTTAAATTCCTCTACAGGCAACAAACAACTATACACACACATATATATGGTAAAAGACGACTTTGTATTGGGACTACAAAGAAACTGAAATTACCTTACTAAGAATGTACCGAGAATAAAGTTGAGAGCGCTAAACAATTTTTAAGCTGGTCTGAAAATCACATGATCATCACATGTGTTCTGAACAGTCAGTGAATAACATTACTCTGCTGCACTAACACTAAATCTGTATATCTGTAATACATCTTCTGTATACATTTAAATACATAGTAAGAAATAAATAGAACTTTTAAGTTTATCTTCTTATGTTCTGTTTTTTAAATGAACTCTTCACACGGAATGGAAACTTGAACTTGATACGTTTATAACATAGAAAAAAAAATTTATCTTGTTTATCTAAATTATTATTGTCTTAAACGTATCCTAATCGTTTATTTCGATATTGTTTCAGGACCAGTATCGATTGAAACCGAAAACAGTTCCAGTCCCGGTAAGTCTAAAGTTATATTAATAATTATTACGTATCAGTATTTTATAACTATTACTACGATACCCTTGTAGTATTTATATAGTGTTATATTATAATTATTTATTATTTTTATCATTATTATTATTATAATCATTAACGCTACCGTTGTCATTAACATTATCGTTTTCGCCGTTGTCGGAATTTACTAGTTATTCACGAGTAGCACATAAATAACGTGATCCCAAAATATCTTCTAGTGTCTTTGTACCACAGCCTCTCACACGCGCACACACGGACATACGCACACACACACACACACACACACATACACACACACACACATGTGTTCACTCATTCGCATTCTCTCTTGCCTTTCGCCGTTCTCTTCATAACGATAATGTTTTAAACGGCCGATAAATCAGACACAACCGTTACGTCATGACATTTGAAACTGGACACTACGAGCAACCAGGGATAGACCTTTGCAAATATCATGGTAAATTCCGACGAACAAAGCGTACTACCACGGCCAACACTATACCGTAATTACCATAACAACCGTCCACGGTAGTATTTAGTTGTAATATTAAATGGTATATATTAATGTACATATTATAATATTACGATTCATGCCTTTTACCGCAATGGCGTTGGCGAGTACAACATATTTTAACGTATATTATAACGCAATTTGAATCAAATATGTTACGCTTGATTGAATATCAGTTCCGTTTTAAAAACTGAAAATAATTATGAAAAATTGTAAATTTTTATTTTTTCGAGAAACATATAATTTGAATGATCTTGTTTTGTTTTGAAATTTGTTCTAAGTGCAGATAGCACGAATAACTAAAAATGTATACTCGAAAGGATAAAAGATAATTCATTAAACCTTACGAAATATACTAGATAAAAGATATTTGAATAAAAATTATTTAGATCATAATAAAATGTTGAAGATTTACAATTTCTATTTTTAATAAAAAAATGTATCACTTCTTATCAATTCTATTTCACAGCACGTTGTGGTTCTCAACTTTCATGTTTTACTTAAATATATACATGATTAGAAAAATTCATTATTCAATTTAAAATCACAACATTGATCTTAATGCGATTAATCCTTGTTATACTTATCACTAGAACTATTGCATTAATTTTTTCTTTTGAATTATCGAGAATCATAAATTACAACGTATAATATGTTACAATCTATGTAAGAATCCACTGTATTTATACATATTGTTTACATAATTTCGATTCGTAATTTATTAAAAATCCATGATTCTTCACTGATCATCATAGTATTTGAAGACTTTCTAAGATCTCAATTTTGAATTTTTATTCTATCACTGATTCTTAGGATCTGAAATTTAATTATAAACCAAAAGCATTTTTTTTTTTTTTTTACGGTGTAACTGTGTTATAGTATGGTGAAATTATCTAGCAGCTATTAATATTGTTCGAGGAAAACAATCGTTGCGCCTCGCACATAAAATCGTCCTTATTTTTATTCGTTTGAAAACATTAAACAGTTTGTTGTTTATTTTTGTCAGAACGCTTGCAACATCAATTCAAATTAAAAATACTATGTATTTAATTTCTCATTAATAATTTTGATTAAATTTTTCGACGTTGAATGATGCAAATTTCAATTTATTACTTTTTACGTTGAGTGTTATATTTGATATCGTTTGTAAATACTTGATATATTTGAATTGAATACAGTTAGATGGACAATTTTAATCAACAACATTTTATTTTATTTCATTATTAAGAAATCAAAAATAAATGGTTACAAATTAACAAGTTTAACTAATAAGTACAGTTTTGATTACCTACATCTTGTAAGCTAAAGCTTGTGTTGGAGATAGGGTGTTATTACATTGACAGATAAAACAATACAATTAGGTAGGTAATTTCTTATAATATTAGGTACGATATTTTATCAATAAGATTACTTTAAAAATATAATAATAAAAAGAAAAGAAAAAATTAAGCAAAGTATTAACATGAATAAATTGATAATATTATATATGATATTTACTTAGTATCGTTAATATTATACCTATCTGTACGCCTTATTCATCAACGTTTTATAACAGAATTATTTCAATTTTTTTAACACAACTGAATGATAATTCAAGTTGAAAACGAATCATACTTAGCCATGATTATGTACGTTTTATAAATTTAATTATTAACTATTAAGAGTTATGTTTCTCTCCCTTTTAAGTTACTGTAAAATGTATAAATTACAACATAGGAAATTATTTGTTTTATTATCACTGATAATTTATTAGTGTAAGACGTAAATTAAGACAGACGCTTTTAACATATGAATTATTCATAATTGTATATCTAAGAGTTTTAAAATACAGTAATTTATTCTTCAGAATAACTACTCGACGTTTAATGATAATTGTTTTGTGTTATATTATTGGATTAGTTATCAATAATTAACATATTTCCGAAGATTATATATACGTAAAAATATACAACATAGCGTAAAAAAATAAACAAACATTTTAATCAACTTGATTTTCATTTTTACGCCATCTTTCAATTGATCCGTCAAAAAAACGCAAGTATTTTCTTAAAAATACATATATGATATGATATGATGATATTTTTATATTTTATTGGACGAGCCTCAGAGAAGTCGTTTATAAAAGCAATCGTGGGAATAGAGTTTTCCGGTTGGTGTGTGTACGTTCTACTATTCTCAGATATTCGAAAATTTAATTAAATCAAACAAACCCCATGAAATCCCTTCTTGATCAAATTTTACCCACCTTCGATACAGATGATGATGTCGTCTATACCGTCGTCACTCGTCGTAATGACGGCACCAGAGTAATCCCACGCGAAGTAGTTCGATACCCTACCTGCGTCCAAAATTCAATTAATAACTGAATGTATAAAATAGTTGGACAACCGTTTGTGATCGTTTTACTAGAATATTGTGTCTATCTACCGGTGCACATAATATTTTCATCCGAATGAACCATTCTATTATTATAAATATATTGTTTGACGTATTGCTGTAAAATAATATTGTATGGAGAAGAGATGAACGAAAGCGTTTTTTTTTTTTTTTTTTGTTAAATCTATAATCATGTTCGGTTCGGAAATAAAACATAAATACCAAATATTTATAAACATACATTGGAGATTGGAAATTTGATTGTTTGTTATTTTGTATTATATCTTGTTTGTTATGTGTCTTTGTATTAAAATATTTTTAATATTTTTCGATTTATATAATGTGAAATTATTTTTTGATGTTAGTTTTAATAGTTTTATAATTTAAAGAATTTAATTTTAACCCAATTCAATAAAAATATAACAAGTTTTTTTTTACCATTACGCAAAGTTATAAAATGTATGAATTCGAGTTTTGAGTATAATTCTGGGAAAGATACATACGGTTCAATTTAAATGTTTTAAATACTTCTAAGATACTGTGTTTGTAAATTTATTACAACACATTTGCTCCAATATTTCTCATAAAGACCATTTACCATATTTAACTATATTTAAGTATACATACGAGTGTATATGTATGCATACATAGGCATTTAAGTTATATTCTAGGATTAAACGCAATACTTTTATGTATGTTTTATAGCTCATATAAGTAATAAAATGTAAAGGTAATGCTTATAATGCGACACGAACAATGGACGTTTAAAATAAATCGTTGTGTGCATTAGTTACGTTTAACATCACACATTGTATTCGTAAAATAATTAATAACAACAACAGTCAAAATGTATGATTTTGGTTGTCTACACAGTGAATACAATGTCTTGTATTAAATCCATCGTCATAATATAATACATGCTATGTCTTCTATGTACGGCCCTCTCAGTTGATGCCGTCGAATTTTTATGTGCTGTGATTTACGCACATTGGTTTTATTCAATTCATCTTTCAGTCATTAATGGCTATTCATTTTGGCGTTGTTTGTTGAATATCCGTAGAACCGGTAACGTCCAAGTTGAAATTATACGCAACGGGAGTATTATAACTACTGAAATAGATTTGCCTATCATTTCCGTCGAATTGATATTTATCGAGATAAGAACTCCAAACTTATCATTTTTTTTCTCATGTCAATAAGTATTCTATTGCTCGTATAATGGTTATCATCACATTTATTTATCGTATAAATTAATTTCAACGGTTGCATAGTATTTATTATTTAGCATTTTTTTTTTAGTCCTTTTAAATATGCAAAAGTAAATGTGTATAACGTAACGTATCGTTTTATACATTTTTCTGTGGTTAAATTTTCTATCGACTAAATTTTATCCATTATTTTGAAAAATAATAACTTTTTATATTTTTATCAATATCTATCTCCTACGATACTTTCCAAGATACGTATTTGTTACACTATCATTTTCTTATCTGGTTAACATGGGCACAACTAGAGCCCAAATATTGGAGGTGCTGAAATTGCTGAAAATGAAATTCAGTGGTATTTAATTACAATTACTATAGATTATATAGATTTGAAGAAAAAAAACAGGAGTGCTACATTTGAACTCAGGGGTCCTAAAAATCCTATTTCGCCCCCCTATTTGCACTTATGCTGAGTAACAGTTTTGATCTTTTTTCAAATCAGTTTTGTCGTAAGTTCGATTTTATTACGAAACTAGATAGGTTATGTACTTTTTTTATTAACAATGTTTTTTTTTTAACAAAATCTTTTGAGCAGAGCAATATGCGATATACGTTCGCATAGATGTTTTACTACATATCCATGGTTTCTATTTATTCTTTTTTTTCATTCATAAATAAATACCTTTAACGTAAATAGGATTCCCTTAAGTAATTGATTAAAATATAAATAAGTGTAATTAATTATAATTAATTAAATAAAATGTCTATGTATGATGCGTATTACATTGTTGTAACTGAATTCAGTGATCATACAATATTCAAGCTCAAAAGCGTTTATATTGGATTTATATACAAAACAATTATTTTTCCTCTTTTTATAATACGTTTGA